ACAACAACAAGTGAAAGAGCGTTTTGATACTTGTAGCAGAGACGAGAATGTGACAGATTCAGATCCCATCTACATCCGCTTACCTACAGGCTCGGGGTGAGAGCCAACCATCGTTAAAACAACCAACGGACAGATAATAGAGGCATAGACTGAGAATGGCAGGATCCATCGACGCCACTTAGATCATGTGCGACCGAGATTGTCCGACACAGAAACACTTGCCGAGACAGAGCAGCCGGCTCAAGCATCGAACGACATGCACGTGCGTGACGCTGAACCGGTAGTTGAGTCACAATTGCGGCGCTCTGAGCGCCGACGTCGACCGGCCGATCGTTTCCAGGCTGGATAGCTCCAAGGTGGGAGAAGTGATGCAGAGGTTGAGCGCGTCAAGGTCATGTTACACTACCTAGCCTGTGGAGCCGCATTGTGCGCGCTAGTGCGTGAGTGTACATCTCCCGACAAACCAGCGATGCTTATTGATTGATTCAAAAGCGAGTGCTTAGCTAAAACATGTGGACTGCAAAACTAAACAGTTGATGTCTACCCACTGTGGACTGCCGATGTACCATTGCCCTTACTTCTACTAAGCTTCCATTTACAATACTGTTGTTCTGGTTTCGGTTGAGTGTAACAGCTAGGGATACTGTTGGGTGAGAACAACAGATAATACTAAACAAGTTGCGCTGGTTTAGGGACGTACTACGTATGCCCGGTCTCCGTTTACTGAGAAGGACCTTATTTTGTCTACCAGGTGTAGGGTGACGCAAGGCTTGAGGTGGACAAAAGTTGACTTGGCTGCGGGAAATGAAGTCACCGGGGACCAAACTCATCACCATCATCATCAGCCAAGTAAACTGATGATTCGCTGCCGTACAACCACGGTGACCAAAGTAACGAAGTACACTAAGAGGGAGAGAAGAGAAATCAACGGTAAAACTTTGACACCCCAAACAAACACTCAAGAGGAAGGCGCCTACACCTTGTCAACAACATACCATCACAAAACGCTGACTGTCTTGCAAAGGTAAGACGTCATCAGCGAAATAGCTTGCTTGCGGTTTTCACTACCCCGCGTCATAACTAGCCACAACCCCGCACACAATTCAGTCCCAAACACACTTCAAATAAGTAGTTCCAAAACACGGCAGCAAACACGCCACCGATGTCGACTTTGAGACATGCCTGTAACGACTCGAGCCAAGCATAAGGTCAGTCATGTGGACCCCAGTTTGGAAGGCTAGACGGAACGACGGCCCGAAATTTCGTCGTCCGTGACTTCCTTTCCCGCTGCCAAGTTATCTGCCCACCCAGGTCATTTTGTCACACTACATGTGGTAGACAAGAAAAGTCCCCCCTCGGTAAGCGGTGACCGAAATCCGAAGTACGTGCCCAAGCCACCGCATACATCCGGAGACGCTGATGCGGTAGTAACTACTCAAGCTGGAGTGGGGTTGGGTAATCGTTGGCTGCTGGATTCCGGTGAGCAGCCGTTTATATTCAGTACGTTTGACTACAATAACTAAGGATGATTCACGAAGCAGCACTAGACACTGTCTGTATGTGGTTTCCGCTTATGCTCCCAACGACTGCAGTTCTGATGCTGCCAAGGACCCCCTTCACCAAGATCCGAACACGCTACTACGCAGAGCTATCAGTTCACATATCATACTATTTGCAAGGAATATAAATGCGTAAGTAGGTCGTCTGAGGTCTTCAGAAGCTAAGCTAGGTGGCAATCATGGGATTAACTCCGAACAGACTGACAACGGCGAGTGTCTTTTGCAAATGTGCGCGGAGCCCCGGCTGTTTCCTGGTAGCATCGCATTTAGACAAAGTGGGCGCCGAAATGTCACATGGCGTCCTCCTGTAGCTGCCCAGCGACGGACTTAAATAGATCACATTGCTATAAGTTACAGGTGGCGTGGTTCTATGCTGGATTGCCGCTCATTCTGGAATACCTGCGTCGAGTTGATCACAACTTGGTATGCTGTCGTTTCTAAATGAGCTTTACTGAGCGGCGAGAAAAGCCTCACCCGCGACTGGCAATTGAGATATTGTCTCAGTCCTCGGTCAGGCAAGCCTACCAAGACGCACTGCGTGGCGAAGATCCGCTGTCTTGCCCTAATGACACTGATATTCAGAGGAATAGGATCTCGGCCGCCATGCATGAACCAAGAGCATCTGCTTGTGGCACTAACAATAGCTACCGCACCAGTCACTGGATATCCGAGAGTTCGGTGCACCTGTTGGAATACAGAAAACTCCCAGCCGACTCTGAGCACAAATTGACCAGACAGACTATTAGGCGCAAACTAAATCGGAGCCTGCGTCCTGAAAAGGAAGCCCAGTGAACCAGTCAGTAAGTAAGCTGCATTCGATTTACTGACCGCGTGCTAAGCTTTTTTATTGCAGATGATTGGCTTGCTATATCTTGTTAATACTTACTTCGTTACCTATCTGAATACTATACTAATTACTTTAACAAGCCGCTTAAACTAAAGGTGGCTAGTTTCTTTAAATTTTATTCGCCTTTGTGGCAAGTGTTTTATCTCTTTTGCTGCAATCTTGAATTTATCGCGGATATGTTAATAACACATTTATTTCATATGTTCATTTGGTGAAACGTTAAGTCGGCATATCTGCATGCTTTATTCGTTTTTTTATTATTTGATATCGTAATTTCAGGTGATTGGCTGTTGCTTGACATCTCCGTTGTGGCTGCGATTGATGTGAATGTTGACAAGTCGCCAGCCTGTCTATTACCCACTACCTCGACTACACTCGCTCCAGGAGACATTTGTTCGTCGTTGGAGGGGACGAGGTGCACGGTCCTTGTGGCCGTATTAGGATCAAAGAGTGGTTCCATGCAGTCAGTGTGGAGCGGACTACGGTCCACCCACCGCCTTGTGTGCGCTTGATTCCCCAAATATAGTGTGCTTGTGTTTGCCTGTGAAGGAGTGTGGGCCGGCTCCGTTGTTGAAACGTGGCACCCATCCACATGCCTCCCGGTCTTATTCCTTCGGGTTTACACTGGATATGGGGTGTGTGATTGGAGCTGTGGGTGTTGCAGCGCAAGCCACCCATGGTCCCTCTGTAGGCGCAGGCGTCCTGCGGCTGTCCCTGTGGAGGCCGCGGTGACAGGCACATCCGGAAGCGGATGCCGCCAACGACATATACATATATATATATATATATATATATATATATATATATATATATATATATATATATATATATATACCCTCAAACGCATACGAGTAAACGTGGGGCCAGCAAAAAGCAAAAAAATCAAAAGCAGGTATATTAATCGCAGAAATGAAGAACGAACATAACGCAAAGCAATTCATTTTGCAGAAAGCGTGGTACTACAGTGGAACCTGCCTAAGGCGACCACCCAAGGGACCGACAAAAAGTGGTCGCCTTGGACAGGTTCACGCATAGGTACATTACTCATAGGACAAAATGTTGGGGATGTTTCTCGCAAGTCGCGATAGGCTAGTGGTCGCCATAACAGCTTGGACTATATCAAGAGACCAATTCTAAGTAGGGAGTTGACGTACTGGGGGAAGGTTCTTAGCCTTCGACTAAACAATCTGCTCACAAGACAGAGGGAATGGCGCCAAATGGAAGGTGACGGATTTTTTACTTCATACGCTTTTGGTTTGGTGACTTATCAGACCAAGACCCAATAGACTTCGCACCCATCCTCTGGTCTACTATGTCCCAATGCGATGAAGCAGAGGTCAGTGAAATTAGTCAGCGGCAAGTCGCATTCTCCACGTCGCAGTGTTGTTAAATGGATATTTGAGACTCTTTATACGGAAAACTTTTGCCAGGTGAAAATTTGCCACGCCCTGAAACACTACCACGGAATCATTTGATGGAACGCGATAAACCAGAAATACCCAGCTGGCACTAGGATGTAATCCGGTAACCTAGCCGCAGTTACCGATAGTCAGAGACAACTGGTTTCTTCAAGTTGTCAGTGTGCAGCGGCCATGTATCGGCTAAACACCGTAACGTCAGCCCCGATGTAAGCCCAACTCTTAACTGACCTTTGACTGATACCCAACTATCTAACCGTCTCAACTAACGTGTGGGGCGTGACAAAGCCACATGCAATATATTGATACACACAAGAACCTGGAACACTAGCAACAGTGTCAGTGAAGCATCAGCCGCATGTGGAAAGGTTACGGAGTACGTCGTGCTGAAGTACATCAGTTGATGTTTGTGAACCGACCCGCAAGGGCTGCAAAGGAGCGGAACCAAGTCCAAGCCACTTATGTCAACATAGTTTTGTTCCATGACTATCTGTCTACCATCTATCTCGAGGTGCGTCAAGTGCTGTTGCTACACCAATGTTAATGAAGTCAGTGGGTGGCCAACCAACAGCAAAGCATAACTTTGAGGAAACCGATCGGGAAAATTTGTCGGCTGATTCCTCAGGATCGGAAACATTCGGTGCCTTGAGCTTTTATCCGATATGACTTAGTCGAGGTGTACATGACATTCCTGTGTTCTGTCTCTTGCACATGACTTCTAATCCACATACCTGATTAACACCCCAATTTGTTTATAGCAGTATTTCGCCCGCCTTTCTTTGTTTTTCTCCTCGCGGTCGCTAGTGTTTATTAACAAGACGTTGCAATTAGTAAAGCCTGAAGCCACTGCACTTCGATGCTTGGGGCCTAGCCGTTCAGGCAAACCGAGCAACATTGAACTGAAGATGATTATCCTGTGTGTCACATTCACAGACTAAGTTGCGGCCAAAACCTATTAGCAAAGGGTCGCTGTTGAATTTCAGCGATGAAGTTGGAGCGTCAGTAGACTGAACGATGTGTTACTTATTCGCAGCATGACGTAAGTTTAACATTGTGTATAGGCTTGTGTAGTTCTGTAACAGTTCGTGATGATCTCCTCACTGTAGTTTCAAAAAGGAGCGGATGAAGGCCCAATTAACGAATCCATTGCACAAAGGTTTGCTTAAGAAAACTCACCGACTATCAGTACATGAGAAGCAGAACGTCGCGCCGTTGTTTCGGTGACACCATCGGACCAATCGGAAGTGGAATTCTCTTGCTGATAATCATCCTCTTTTATTTCATCACTGGAACTGGACAAATCCGGACTGCCGTTGCCAGTAACAACCTTGGGCGAAACCAACTGGTTGGCACCGAGGCGATAAGAAGTGCCGGCGTCGTCTGAATCCGATTCAAAGATATTATCTTCGGCGCAATCATCTGTAAGTGTACGCTCAGTCGGATTTCGTAGTCGTTTCTGGCGACGTTTATTTGGTCGCGGATTTTGGGTGCCACCGAATAGAGCTAACAGAAGACCAGCTTTTACTAATGCGCGACCGCAGATGGAGGGACACAAAGACGCGACCAGCAGACGAAACAAATTGGGCTGTTCACTTATTTCTCTGATTGCGTACAAGTCCTTGATGGAGAAGTCACTGTCTTGGGAAGATAAAAGAGTATGAAGTAGTGAGACCGTAAGTGGAAAACACCTATGATTAAAGAGCAGGGCGTAAAAGGCAGGGACAATGGTGAATTCGTATGTAGAGTGTGTGACAAGAACTGCAAAACCCCAGCAGCGAAAGCGTCGCAAATTAATCGCAGCAAAAGTTACATGGATGTTAAAGGAAATCATTGTAAAATTGACGCCAATGAGAAACTGAAAGCCCGTACGACTCTAACCAACAAATGTGACAAGAGTGAAAAACAACTGATTTGACAAAGCGAAACTAGTCACAGGGTAAGCAATTAAGTTATGGCTGTAGATGAACGTTTGGGTGCCAGCCTAAGTGAAACGGAAACCAGAACAGATGGAATGAGCAACAGGCAAAACAGGCTGGTGCGTTAGAGTAAAAATTATGCCAGTTCCAGATGATTCCAGATAGTTGAAGTATAGACTAGCCATTCAGTTGTCAGATGACCATCACAAATGATTCCGGGGTGCCAATTCACGAGGACAGCAAACTTAAGCAAAAGTGGATTGGGTAATTTATTTATGCATGTTCGCCATGGCACCAGTTAGTTACCATGGGAGGTAACTCAACGAGGCACAGTGCGAGAAAAACAACAGTGAATGGGCATCGGTGGGAAAAGAACTCCCCAATAAAGATACTTAAAGTAAAGCAAGTGTGCAGGTGCGAAGGAAAAGGGAGTAGAGGAAAAGATTAACTAGTGTAAAGTGGGAGGAAGCAATTGATGCGTTCATGAGTTAACCGGGATATCATTAATGCGCAAAAGTCGTTTCGCCGACGCTTGCTGCAATAACGATTACTTTATCCAAATGGTGTATTTGATCGATAAATTGATGCCCAGCAGAAAAAAGACAACGAAATAAAGGCATGGAAGGACAACGAGCTACACCGTAATTGATTCGGCTTGATGTATGCCAACCGATTTGATGAGCGATACAGTCTGTGTGTCAGTCTGCATGCGTCAGCTTACTCGGTAGAGACTACAAAGTAGCCGAGTACCACTAGAAGACCTTGGGTAGGAGTTCATTTGGGCCGAAAAATTATCGTCTATGCACCTAAGAGCTGTGTATGAGTGTTTACGCAAATATTTTCAAAGAAGCAATAAGCAAAAATGGCAGTGGACAAGCGCCAGGGTCATCAATAGGAACAGCTAAAGGTCAGAAAGGAGGAAACGAATGGAAGAATGCCACCGACCCTGTAACCCCAACATATTCGGTGAGGTGTTCAATCGGTGGATTGAGCGATTCCGAGGATCTCAAGGCGCAGAGCTGTAGGCACCAAATCAGCTCAATATTCGATGATACCCTTAAGACTACCTCACTATACCAACGAATAGTAACCTTTGGATCCTCTCCAACTGTGCGCTGTTGGTTGTTGGCTTGCAGAACCCATGATTGAGTAAACAGAGGGGAGAAAAATCCAACAGATACGCTAATGAAACACCAGAATACATGCTGTCAAATGTAAATTCCAGCAGCACTCACTGACATCTCCCACTAGATATGTATAATACGTCTAATGAAGCGGTGGCCAGACATCACACATCAACAGATTACATTAGTCAATGAACTGATGCTTCGATGTCATAAAAACATGGTGACCTACGGAACGAAGAATAATAAGGGGGAGAGAAGAGGGACGAACGGCAGAACCATCATGCCCTAAACAAACATTCGGGGTCAAGGCGCCAACACTAAGTTAACAACAGCACATCGCACTCAGCTGGATATCGTGCAGAGATAAAGTGACATCAGCCAGACAGCTTCCTTGCAACTACCAATTCCCCGCATCATAGCCAGCCATCACCTTGCAGACAACTCAGCACCAAACTCACCTTAAACATGAAATGCGACTAGGAGATGGCAGCAGACGCGGCACTGGTGTTGGCTGCGAGCCATGTCCTGTAAAGTCTCGAGCTAAGCATAATGCACATCATGCGGACTTCAGCATGGAAGGTGAGGCTGACCGACGGCACCCGATTTGGTCGTCAGTGAGTTCATTTCATGCTGCCAAGTTAATGTTTTCCCACCTAGGGCCTTGAGTCACCATACATCTGGTAACCAAGGCCCTCCTCGGTAAGCTGGTGACCGGGTATACGTAGTACGTGCCCAGACCAACGCAAGTTAGTGCTATCTGCTGTTCTAAGGAACTAGCTTGGTTATCACTGTCTAGTACTGGCTTACGCACATTATCGTTGCAGACACGCTGGTGCTATCCGACACCAGCAATGCCTCACAGACAACGAAGATCGAAGACATAAAGGTGTCGCAGGTCCTCAGATCGAAGGGGACAAGTCTCATTCCGTAGAGCAGGACGGCCCTAACTGTGGCCCGGTAAACTCGGCCTTTAAGACCGAAGGAAACCCCTTCCTGACGCCACAGATTCAAAAATACAATTCTAGCTTTTGCAATACGTGATTTGACTTCAGTCGTTATGCGCCCGTCGTCGCTGATGCAGCTGCCAAGTTAACTGAATTGATCGACTACCTCGAGTTCCTCGTCATCAAGGGTCAAGGGATCGTCAAGTGGCTGCTAGTCCTGTAACAGGACTTTGCATTTTGAAGGCACGGAACGCATCCCAATGGGACCACTCTTGAGAGGTTATTCAGGGTTGATTGCGCCGCCCCAACATCGCGAAAAACAGCAAACTATCGTCCACATAATCATGATCAACGACATCTCACCAGATAGCACCTCAAAGCCTGCATCGTAAGACTCCGCAAGGGAACACTTCATGATGCAGTCCACGACGAGATTGAACAAAAATGGGGAAATGGACAACTCTGACGAATGCCACTTGTCTTCGGAAAGACATCAGACAAATTACCGTTGACCCTGACTTGGAATGTGGTGTTCCAGTACAGGGCACGTAACAAGTTCTCTGCTATCACAAGATTGGCAAGGAGTAAATATGTGATCGATCAGCAGTAGGTGTGACATCTGTTTCTCGCGACGGCTCAGGTGATTCGGCAAGCAGGCCTGCTGAACTGCTCTTTAAAATGTTACCCCCAACGGGCTAGTCGACGACGCGGAGAATGGATCAGCTACCCGTCTTTCTCAGTTACTGTCTCGCTAACGGATGGCTTTCTCGGACCATTGTTCCAGATGAGCTGGAACAGAACTCGGATATTCCAAATAGTAGTTGCTTTCTCCATCTCCCGATGTGCTGTTGTTAACTTAAGGTGTTGGCGCCTTGACCCCGAATGCTTGTTTAGGGCATGATTAGAGAGGAAACAAGCCTGGATTTCAGTGAATCGGTTCTCATGGAGACCATTAAGTCTTTGGAGAATGATAGCCGTGAGGAGTTTAGATGCAATGGAAACCAGGCAGATGCCGTGATGATTTTCGCACAAAATACGCTAACCCCTGCTGAAGGTGGGCACGACAGTTAACAGTCACCAGTCTGAAAATACGTATTCACTGTTCTAAAGCGTGTTAAATATGATTGCGAGTCCAGTTAACAAAGCGTCACTACCATCTTTCAGCAAAGATGGAGAAAGGCCGTCGGGTCGGTGAGATTTCCTTCGTATCAACACGGAAAGCATATGTCAAATCGCTTCCAAAGTAGGTGTGACATCCGCTTCTTGCGACGGCTCCGGTGATTCGGCAAGCAGGCCTGCTGAACTGCTCTTTAAAATGTTACCCCCCAAGGGCTAGTCGACGACGCGGAGAATGGATCAGCTACCCGTCTTTCTCAGTTATTGTCTCACTAACGGATGGCGTTCTCGGACCATTGTTCCAGAAGAGCTGGAACAGATAACGGATGTTCCAAATAGTACTTGCTTTCTCCATCTCACGGGCCTGTGCGATTCATCAACACTCCTAGTCTATGCGAGGACTCCTTGCGACGCGTCGTTCCAAAGAGTTAGGGACACGTTGAAACTAAGTGCTCAGTGAAAGTTGTTTCCGTGCTTCGATCAAGCTGATCGGTGCATCAGAGATCCGTTCGCCGTTATAACGTCTCAAGTGTGGTGCATAGCATGCGTCGAAAGCATTCTTTATGGCACGCTGAAGACGATTCCAGTCAGAGTTCGGTTCACCAGCCTCCTCCATCAATGACAGTTAGTGGGTCAGTTCGTCGTGGTATTGTTGAACTGCGGTTGCGAGTTCAAGGTACAGGCAAAAAAGTTAAAAGATAGACACTTCTTTGTAGCGGGAATAGTGGGCGCCAAGCGTGCACGAACTAAAGCATGGTCAGAATCTTGTCATGTGCTCCAAATTGACTGATGTGGCCATCTGTAGCAGGTGGCAATATGGTCATTTTTGGTCCAGGTCATTGAGGGATTCGGTAGGCGCCAGGTGACGCGGTATGAACGTTTGTGCTGGAATGCAATGCTGCTACGGTAAAGGTTGTGGTCGGCGCACAGCCGCAGGAACCGATCACTATTGTCTGTTCGGCGTGCATCTACTCCGAAGCGCCCTCCCAGGGGTTGTTCAACACATGAAAGACGACCCACTTTGGCATTCAAGTCACCAGCAACAATCACGATGTCGATATTCTTCGCCGTGAGAAGAAGAGTTGAGAGCTGTCGATGGAAATCGTCTTTAATACCCACAGAACTGCATTTAGTATGGGGCATAAACCGAGGCGATGAAAAGGCACCTTGGCTTCAAACGTTCCTTAGTAACTCCCATAATAGTTCGAAGTCAAACCGCGCTCATGAGGCTGTTCACTGGTACCCAGTCGACCAAATTACCCTCGGCATGTTTGCTGATGACAATTTCAACACCATAAATATCTTGAGCTCAAGTCAATATCGCCAGAGACATGAAGAGTGTTATCATTGTCTAGATTTGGAACTAGGGAGTCGAAGATTCGTCACAACACTGTTATCTTGTATGCGTGTTTCGGAGACACAGCTAACATCAATACCAAGGGAGTGAAGAGTGAGAGTCAGTATTGCCTGCTGGCCGAACTGACCCAGGGTGCGATCGTTAAAGGAACCAATATGAAATGAAACTGCGAGATCAGTCGCAGCCTTTTACTCAATAGACGGGAAACAGGAGAGAAAAACAAGAAGAAAAAGAAGAGGGAGTATTGTCGATGTGGTTGAGAGGGCGGATACTACTCTTCGGCTGCCCATTCCGAGAAAGGCGAGGGACGTCAGAGACCAAATGCGAAGGAGCAACTGGCTTCTAAAAATGTTAATCGATGAGATCGATTCCGAGGCAAAGATGTAGGAAAACAGGATATGTTAGGTTGGTCAACGTCCTCGACAACTTAATATCTTTGTTCTCCGATGTCATAGGTTGCCAACACCAAAGCATTACCACAGAAAGTGCAACAAACGTAAGCCGTCAACGAAAGACCAGGTGGTCAACAACCACACGAAGCAAATGGTCCAGCGAAAGCAGGTTGTTCTACTTCAACATATGCTGCGGTGCAGCACCAGGGGTCTGCTGCCAAACATTGATTGATGGATTTCGATCGTATCCAATGCTTCCAGTAGACAGGAGCAATGTTTCGTCATTACTAGTGGCCAATGATGACCAATTTAAGATGTGAAACGGTTGTTGTTGTTGACCCACACGACAACATCACATTAAATCATCAAAAGAAGGGCTAATATGCTGCAGTATCTATAGATGAATATGTAGTCACCCTGCTTTCGTTGGTGCGCGTTGTAACTTCCTCATTTAGTCGACCATTACGAGGGACGCAATTATTTAGAATAAGTCAGCGGGTTGACCATTTCGAGTGGCTGTTCGAGGACAGTTAGGACTGTTGGCACAATCATGCGGTGTTGCCTATCACACCGAGGGTGCTAAGGATATGACAAAGGAAGAGCACAGTGCACTGCATAGGTTTACTCAGAAGCGTTGGTACATAGACCAGGTCTCACTCCACAAACTCAATATTTGGCAATAGGTCATCCGATCGAATTCGGATTTTAGAAAAAGTTGCGAGTACACATTCATTTAAGATCGTTTCCAAAGTAAAAGTAGGGAAGGAGAGAAATACTGGACAACTTGAATGTCCTTCTGCTTCGACGATGAAAATCCATACATGAGGCTTACCTTAGCATTGGAAAGCTGTTGTGGGTTCCCCTGACTTTACGGATAACTTGTCTAAATCTGTTGTGCCGGCCCGCAACAGTTCAACCAGCAACAAAATGAGAACGCCAAGACCAGCCGGACTGAGGGGCTTGGATTCGTATGAGAGCATGGCGCAATAAATAGGTTGCGGGCAAATACTAACACAACAATATTGGGGATGCTAATTAATAGTAATTAACATAACTCAAACGGTGCAAGTTCATGATGCAACTTGGCGCTCATCCCGCATAGATTCACGTTTTGATATCTACTCGAGTTCGATATCTAATTCTAGATCGATGCACTCTTGCGCCACTGCTCCCGGCTTGATCGCTGACTGTAAGCTTTCTTTCCGTAACAAAAGCGATCCAGTTGGAGAGGGCAGAGGCTACTTTTTGCTTGACAACACGAAAGGAGCAGGCTTAGAATGGACGGCAGATAAAGAAAGAGGAAAGGGTAAAAGTGGCTGATTTTGCGGGCTGACGGTTTGATCATAGGTGTCCACTTCGATAGAGGGATTCGTTTAGGGGCACAGAGAAACGATGCTTGACTCAACATTCCGATCTATAATGCAGCGGATGACATTGTGGACTGTGAAGTTCAATGTCGAGTTCAAAAAAAACAGTTTGGGACCGCGCATACGAAAATTTGGTGGATAAGTAAAAGTTAATATGGGTATTTCGAGGGTAGCATGCAAGTTTCCTGTACACGTCACAGCGTGGATGAGACCTAGTGAGTATCTGCTAAAGTGACCGGGATTGACTAGCGCTAGGCAAGTATTGGCAAAACCGTGAGCAAACATGCTGCTCCCCGGCCATCGGGAAAAACTGGCGGGGATCGCAAACTGCAAAGAAGGAGGAGGGCTATCGGCCACCCAACATGGTCCTGCAAACAAGGTGAATAGACAAAATTTGGCTGATTGTCGACCATCGATCTGTCGGGGTGAGTGTTCCTACAGGTGTTAGGAACCCCCCCCCCCAAGTGCGAGCGCGTCGAGACAAAGCAGCGGAAGAACAGACAACACATACCAGAATGAGTATTCGACTGTTCAATGGAGCGTTCACCATTTGCCAGCTCAGGGTTTCCGAATTCGTCTCCGGAGGTGATGAGAAGCATGCCAGAATTTCCGCTGAGGTAGTTAGATGATCCGGCCATACGACGGAAGTTGATGTTGCTACCGCCGCTCATTTTGGTCAGGCCGTTAACTTCTAACAACAGACTGAACATATTTCCAGAGCGGCGTGACGACCATGAAGCATGGGCTGATGAAGACGCTTGACTATCAGTGTTGAGCAGACTAACCACGCCAGCGAGGTGCACGACATCCCCGGGTATGCATGAATCGGCAAGGTCCAGAGTCAAGCGACAGGGCAAACAACGGGGACTGCGGCCTAAAGAGGATGCTGAAGTGCTGACTTCGCCTAAAAGGCGATCTGGCTGGGGTTCAGAGGCCTCTTGTACAGTGATAATCTGCAGTGTAAATCAAAACGATCGACGAGAATACACACTGTATGTTTTCTATATAGGAAAGGTGTGTAAAGCGAGATAAGAGGTGACGATAAATTACAACGTTAGACATTCGAGGCGAATAATGTAACGCTGGTTCGTTACAGTGGTACACAGGAGGTTTTGCCGATTCAGCAAGGTCCGGTGAAAATCCGCCACTGAAGAGACCCAATAAAACGCTTCCGTAGATGTCTGGTGGCTGTCCGGCTGTGACAAACCTTTCCAAAAAAGGTGAAAGTTGGAAAATTAATACTCTTTATGGTACCGAAAGTTGGAGCCTAAAGAAAGACACTGAGTATCGTAGTGCTTCCGAAGAGTGTGGACGAACTTTTGCTCTCGAAGCAGACCAGAATAAAGAAAAATCCCTTCATATGGTGAACACGTGTGTTTTACCGGTGGATATTGGGGTACATGATAGGTAAACACTAATAAGATGGAGGAAAATACTCGAGTACCAGTGGCGATTCTCAGTGCTCCGCGAAGTCAATGTTTCGATATCAATTACTCTACAACTCGACTGCCATTGTTGGCCACGACGGGAAGAGCTCATGACGTGACGGAGTAAACCTTTTGTAGTAGTCAAGATACTCATGCTGGGCGAATTGCCAGACCTACTGGTGAGTAAGAAATGCCCACACGAGGCAATATGACAGACTTGACAAATAAAAACGTACTAGGTTCGAAAGGGTGGGATGTTGATACGGGTTGAGTGGCTTAGAAGACTAAGAAAGCTCAGAAGACGGGCTAACACGGTGATGGCTTATTTGCTCTTATGTCACATCGGTAAGAGGTCAAATGTGGTGTGGAAGTGCGGATGAAACCTTTCGAGGGACTACTCCGCTTGGAAACAGGTCCCCAGGGAACGGTTCCACAGTAGCGGTATTATTTCACTTGAACTTTTTTCAATAACCAGTCTCATCTTGATAACAACTTTCCTATGTTTCTACTATTTTAAGCAGATCGAACACCCCGAAAATCTATCTGAGAAGTACACTGAAAAATCGGAACAAACATCTATGCTTCGCGATTCTGTCGTATCGATCGATCAGACCACCTAGATGGACTATATCTATCACAGTCAAGAAAGGTACAACTTATAGCTGAACAAATGAAGGAACATGCAACATCGAATTGGACGAATCAAACAGCAGCAGATAGACAGGGCCTGGGGGAAGTTCCGGGTATGCAAGCAGTGGCTGAAGCGCGCTGAGAAGTTCGGATGTCAAGATTAATTGCTTTGAGGATAGGAAAAAGATAATGCTAACGAACCTGCGTATCGACGGTGACTGTGTCGGGGTGATTGAGAAGTGGTTCAAAGCAGCGCGATCGACAGCCGCGGAAGGTGCATCGTGTAGGGGTGGAAAAGCGACCACCGGTGGGGAGGATGAGAACTTGTCGAGTACCACACTGGGTGCATTCAAATGACAGTCGGCGACACACTGGTTCGACCTAAAGGGCAAAAATTAATTCAAGTTTATCCAAGGGAGTTGAACACGATAAGTAGTATGCACGGTCAGATTATGTACGTACATAAGATACCAACCTGATATGCATAGAAAAGACATCGAAATAAGAAAGGTAAGGCTAAGATAGTAATACTTTTCGCGGACCATCAGTACATATAATTGATTCCAAAGGAAGGTAACAAACCCGCGTTATATATATATATGTCTAAAAATATCTGCAAAAGTATGCAGTGAAATACATACATTTCACTTCGACGCAACACTTTCGTGTCCGCAACTCTATCGCTCCACCCCATGCGCAGAATCCGCTGAAAACATTGTTGATTGAACCACTCGAGATATCGCACATCCCGCCGGTACATGGTCCACGTTTCACTGTCGTATGGAAGAACGGACAGTACCATGGATTTGTACACCATCAGCTTCGCGCCAATGGTAAGCTAACGGTTGTTCCACACTCGGTACCCTAGCTTTCCGAATGCCGAGGCTGCCTTCAACATGCGGATACGCAGCTCACTGTGTAACTGCTAGTAAGCCGACATCAAAGTCCCAAGGTAGCAGAAGAGGGAGGTGATTTCCAATACTTAAACGCCAATGCTGATTCGCAGCAATGTTGAAGACTGCAACTCCGGTGAAGGCTGAAGGAGACAAACAGCTTTGCTTGCGTAGATGGTGAGTTCGAATGTGGAGGTTATCAAAGCCAGAGCACTAGTCATGTGCTGCAACTCAATCGCGCTGTGTACAAACAAGGCACAGTCGTCAGCAAACAGCAACATACGGATAGTTGTCTCACAGACTAGGGTTATCGCACCGAAACGACGGATATTCAGCAACCCACCGTCAATACGGTGCTCCACACGAACACCGTAAGCACAAGCAGCATCAACCGCACACGACATCATGGCATGAAGATAGATGTTAAACAAGGCAGGGGCTAAAACACAGCCTAGATTCACACCAGTGACAATTGCAAAGGTATCCAAGGCGTCTCCATTCAGCTGCATCCGCGCCCGCTTACCACTGTGCAGACATTCAAGTAAAGTTACAAAAAAAAACGCGGGCAACGAAACTTACACAACACCAGTCACAATGCCTCGTGGTTCACCGTATCAAATAATTTGGTGAAATCAACAAACAGCGAGTACAACGGCTGGTGTCGTTCTCTGCACTTCTCCTGCAACTGACAAGCCGCAAACACCGTATCGATGGTGCTGTGACCCGAACGGAATCCACACTCCTATTGCGCCACGCTTGGTTCCACAACCTGACAGATGAGGTGGTTGAAAAGGATTCGGGAAATCACCCTGTCCACACAACGCAGCAAGTTGAGGCCGTGATAATTCGTACAACATCGCTTGCCCCCTTTGACCTTGTACAGTGGTAGCACCAGGGCATCCTTCAGCTCAGGAGGCACCTCCTCCTCAATCCAAACGCGTTGCACCCAGTGGTGCAGCACGTTACGCCCTTCTTCTAGCTACGAGCCGGGACATACCTATCAGCAGCAGTCAATGAACTGACTATGTGCTAGACCCGCTGCCTTTCGGGTGTTCATTTAATCAAAGGCTTTGGCTGGGGACCCGAGCCGTCCACTTCTCAGGAGTGGGCGCCCTGCCAGTATCCTAGTCCATCCTCTTGGGAGGTTAGGAAGTGGTCGATGGGCCTCTTCCCGTAAAACCTAGCCATGGGAGACAACAGGTCTACGGGTTAAAAGCTCACTGCTCAACTGGAGTAGAGCATGAGCGCCACGCATTTTCTCTGACCGTGGGAAGGCACCTTGGGTGCTCAATGGTCTGCTACTGCCCGCCTCAAGCCAGGTAGCCCCTGGTCAAATTGGCGCAAAAAAGCCAAATCCCTCCTGCGACTAGACGGAGTCGCAGATGTGTAGCCTACTACGATTGCGAAACATATATGAATTGTTCCAGATCTCCAAAAGCTGCGTGTGACGGACTTCAAGCAGACCCCAATCTGCCAATGCAATCACACTTCCGAGCTGGATCTGCTCCCTACTGCCTTGTGGGTCAGGCTTATTGAGCCGAAGGCTCCGGGTGGAGTCCCTCAAGCAAACTTCCGAACCAATACCGCCACCTCGCCTGTGATTGCCCATCAATGCAATTGTATACATGTGCGCAAAGCACTCAGCATCGGATGCTGGAACGAACGCACACTACTGGACCGGAACTCGAGTGAACGCCCCGAGCGACGCAGTGCACTAAACCCGATTGAACTAGCGCGGTACACCATCGATATTGCGGCGCTCAGTAAGACGCGGCTCGCCGAACAGGGTAAGTTGGATGAAGCAGGTGCTGGCTACACGTTCTACTGGGTGGGCAACGACACCTCCGCACCACGTGATCATGGGGTCGGATTTGCAATATCCGATCGCCCAAATGGCCACCTGGTGGGTGAACCAAATGGCATCAGCACGCGATTGAAGACTGTTCGCCAATGACTAGGAAAAGATAAATTTGCCACTGTTATTAGCAAGTACGGTCACACCATGCGTTATCCTGATGACACGCGTAATCTATTTATTCTACACCGTGCTATCCTCCGTGATACGGTCTGTGCCGAGGAGCGACTGACTATTTCTACTAGGTGATTTCAACGTGCGCGTTGGACGTGGTGCATCGGTGTGGACAGATGTCACCGGTCCGCATGACACTGGCTCAGCGAATGCAAACAGTGACAAGCTGCTCTCACTGTGTGCCACTCAAGGCCTGACGATCACGAACACTCGGTTTGCACTGAGTGCGAGTGATATAGCAACTTGGACGCACCCACGGAGTGGTCACGCTCACCTGATCGACTATGTCATCCGTACGTAAGCGTGATATGCGTGCAGCGCCCATGACACGTGTACTGCGTGTAGCTGAGTGTGGCACTGATTACAAATTTGTGCGGACCAAACGGTATATATATTTTCGTAAATCAATGTGTTGTACTCCCGCCGTGAATCGGCGTAAAGTTAACATCCTCTCCCTCATTATTGTGGGGAAACGTATTGAGCTGGAGAAGACGATGACTGCACGCCTGTGTGATGTGAACTGTATAGCCACAGTGGACGACCTGTGGCACCACATAGACGACCAAGTGATAGTTGCTGCCGAGGAGACCATCAGGCGCGCAAACTGTAAGCGGCCTGACTGGTTTGGTGAGAACAATGCGAAGATTGGCGCATAGGTGTCTGATTAGAATGCAGCATTTGCTGCACATGTGGCAGACCGCAGTGACTGTGGGAAGAAGAGTCAGCTTCGCAAACTTAGACGGCGACTGACCTCAGAGCTCCGTTATAGTAAAAATGCATAGTGGACAGAGAAGGTGAAGACGGTGGAATGCTACGCCATCAACACGAGGAATTCTCCGACTCCTTGAAGGCGGTGTGTGGGCCGAGGTTGGAGCAGCGGTGGAAGCTGATCAATGATAGTACAGGCGATGCCTGCATGCAGACTTCAGACCTAAGGTAGAACTGGCAAACACACTTTGATTGCCTCCTGAACAACCGTTTAGAGATCGACTGGCGTACATTGAACGGCATAAAGCAGCACGATGTGAGGGCGAGTCTGGCGGACACGCCGACACTGGATGAGACACAGAGAGCACTTGCTCAGCTGCGAAACTGTAAGTGTGATGGGGCCGACTGGATCCTGCCTGAAGTATTGGAACACGGTGGACCAGCGTTTGTGAATGCGTTGCACCACTAGGTGCTGCGCATGTAGATTGAGGAGGTGTTACAGTCACAGCAATGCTTAGATAATCTGCCCGCCCAAGGAGTACATCATCTACTTTGGAAAAGGTGTCCTTTCCGACTGGACATTCTGGTCACGCATTAGTGATTGATATTGTTTAATTACCTTTTCAAGAGCTGTGAAGCTTGACGTAGCCCAGTCAACAGTGTTGTGTGAAACATCGAATATTCGTTGGGATTTACAACCGCTTCATCCGGTCTAGTACTGAGCAAAAGCGACACGTCATCATCATCATACACGTTAGCTAGAAGTGGGGAACATCTCAGCTACTGTGCCGCAATACACAAAAGAAAAAAGGAGAAAAAATGCAACTGGTGCAAGCCGGCTGAGCTACCGGTAAAGGATGAGCATCGTCTCGGTAAGCTACCAGCCGGCTACTGTGCATCAAAAAATACTATGCAAAATCATATAAGGCTAAATAATGAGATCGTGGTTGGAGGGGGAGGCTAAGAGGGATAGGGTGGGGCAAAGAAACTCACAGCACGAACGCCACTGAGGTCGGCTCCTAGCCATGTCAGCAAGTGTGTCCAAACAAACGTGTTCATCGTCTTTCGGACCCCAATCAGGCAACCGAGACGCTCCAACCGAGGCCAGCTCAGAAATGAGGGCCTTCACTCCTCTCGACCAAGTCATCGCTTGGCCACCCCTCCTCTTCTTCCATCCACACCGCCGGCGCGCAAACAAAGCACGTCGCGGGAGTCGGTGGGCTGGCATGCATAACACGTGGCCGAGCCATCGGAGCCGGATGCGTGAAACAACGGTGCTGAGCGGTTCATTTCCTTTTCTTGTGCCGTAAACAAGGCGTCGAACACGCTCGTTGCTCACGCAGTGTTCCCACCAGATGTGAGCTAAATTACGAAGGCACCGGTGGTCGAACGTAACTAGCCTCTTTAGGTCCGCTGCTTTAAGCGGCCAGGTTTCACAACCGTACAATAGGGTCGAACGTACTGCTGCATTGTACACTCTACCCTTCAGGGCAAGAGTGATGTCGCGCCGGCGCCATAAGTGGCGAAGGTTAGCAAAAGCGCCTCGAGCTTTTGCTATGCGGTTCGCGATCTCATCCTCAATCCCACGGGCGCTGATACAACTTCCCAGGTAGTTGAATTTTTGAACGACTTCTAGCTGATCCCCACCAACGGTCAGCGTAGGAGGCGGTCCAGACCAATCTTAGAGGAACGCTTTGCACTTCGAGGGTGAAAAGCAAAGCCCGAAGTGACGGACAGCTAGTGCTAATCTGTCCAGTGCCGCTTGACACGTTTGTAAAAAAGCGACACGTAACCACACTTCTCCTTTCACAACCTAGTAATGAGTTGCTATGGTGAGGTTGATTAGCGATACGGTGCATGCTATGCCATCCCAAACAATGTTAGATGAATACAGCACATTACATTTGCATCATAACCAAAGAGGGATGCAAACAAGTTGGCCAAGAAAGGCGGCATATGTTTACACTTTATCTTGTTGGTGTATGTGTGCTCAAAATGTAGCAATGTAAAGTGCTCGAAACCGGGAAACGGTAGGAAACGAAAGCCTTGGTAAAAGAACCAAACTGAATGGAGGGTCATTTAGAAGCACGCGCTGTGTGCAAGGATTGAGATCGTTTTCGAACTTATTCGATATCATCAGATAGGGATAACAGGTATCTGCCACCCATTATCTACTTCATCAGTTACAGTCCCAGTGGTCGAATTGACCAAGGTCCATCATTTCAGAAAACTTGGTAGACAACCGGTTAATGTATTTACGGTGATAGACAACGTTTCGCTTTTGACACAAAAACTTCATCAGGCCACTGGAGCAAGATTCGATTCTACCGGCTGTTGAAATCTAATTATATTTGCTAATTGGGCGCGGATGATCTCGGCCTTTTCAAGTGGTAATCTAGTCATTACGGGTTCAACTCCAGGAATTACATCTTCTGCCCTTAGTTTAGATTTACTGGTAGCAAAATTCAGACCATTTTCTAAAACTCTACGCTCTGTTACACTTAACACTCTATCTAACATGTTAACAACTCTACAATAGTTGCTATTAGATACAAGCTTATCAGTACGACTATCGACCTTATTATGTGCAGCCACCAAGTGTTCAAACTTACGTATTTGCCTTTCTTTCGACTCCCGTCCTCTTGCTGCCTTAACTTCGGAGGCCTTATTGCAAAGTCTGTCATAATCAGTCTGTGCCGCCGCAGTCTGTAAATCCAAGCGCGGCTGACTCGCATGGATGCGGATTTCACCCAAACGTCTAGTTGTTACGTAGATTCTTTGTCTCAGAAATGCTTTGCCTTCTCTGAGTGCTATTCGTACCGAGGTGTACGAAGAATCCGGAGGTTTAACTGTGAGAGATTTGGGAATAATGTTGTTCCTGAGACACCTGATGTTAAAAACTTGATGATTTTCCCAATTGGCTTCGATGCCTGCTAGGCGCACAAATTCACTCGACAATTTGCGAACACGAGGTCCGTATCTGTACTCAATATCTTGGAACATATTTGGAACCGATCGGGAAGTCATCATTTCAGAAAACTTGGTAGACGACTGGTTAATGTATTTATGGTGATAGACAACGTTTCGCTTTTGACACAAAAGCTTCATCAGGCCTGATGATGACTTCCCGATCGGTTCCAAATATGTTCCAAGATATTGTGACCAAGGTCCACTTCAATGGGAATCGCGGTCCATATTGCGATTGCGATGAGCAATTCAGCCACACAAGTGCATCAAAATGACCACCTAATCAGCCAGTAACCATTGTGAAAAACGTTACCCGTCGAGACTCAGTGATGAAAGGTTTCGGCTAATATTCCAATGGCCGCTAGTTCGATACCCTCAACCTCTACCTGATGAGAACAAATCAGACGGAAACCGGTCGTGGAGTGAGGTGCTTTTGGAGTGGAAAACGCCCAATATCCACTTGGCTTAACCGGACTGAAGTATTCCTACAGAGTTTCACCAAAATCACAGTGGTCAAGATAGTAAAGTAAACTGACCCAAACAAGTTCCACTGGAATGTCCGAGGTAGCCACACTCTTACACCATCACAAAATGGATGAACCGTGCATCCCTGGAAACAACGGAAGACAAGGTTGGAGAGCAGAAAATATTATCAAAGAGGATAGCTCACCCTCTATGCTTCGAGTGACGAGTGGTGAAGCACTGAAACAGTTTGCCTGCGAAAATCGTCGAGGCGAAATCAGTGTTGGAATTAAAGCAATTCCTAGACACCCGCTTTGCGGACTTCAGATGAAGGGAGCACATCGCACCCAAATTGCATACGGCACAGCTATAAGATACAGCAGACGTGCAGGAATGAGTGACGTGACTCCGCGCACGTTCACGAACTAATTACAGTGGAGCAATATAGAGGTATTCAGAAATTCTAGAGATTGTTTAAGGGCTCCCACTGTTTATCTGTGGTCATTAGGTAGGAATTAATGGGCGTTTTTGGAAGCTTCATCGAGCCAGCTTCCCCCAGACAGCCACCGCACATGTGAAAAGCGCAAAACGATCGTTTTGTCAAATCTAGGAGTCATGGATGTTGGATGTGACTGACCATAAGCTGTGAGATAATGCCATGCACGTCATTAGCGTGCGGAGAATAGGTGCATAGGTGCACGAGTTCTTTTGCAACTTCGATAATTAGTTGTGCATTCTACACAAACCAACACAGGCGACCAACCTTGTTAAAATACCGGCAGCTGGCCACTGATCAACAATATTCAAGTAGGGTTACACTAAGGAGCTAGTGAAGGGGTTCTGATAAGAGGATCAGATGGATAAGGCGAGAGAAAAGTTGAAACGAAAACTTACGGGGCCCACTCGCACTACGATCCCCTTAATTGATATGAAACGACCAAGATGATGGGCTCTCAACCTTCGCAATGGAGTCACGGGCGAGTGATTGATGATACGACCGGCAATGTATGATGGGATGCGACTGTCCTGGATTGTGGAATTACAGTCGACCGCTATATAGTACGGTGAAAAAGAAGAAGCAGACATAGTCACGGAATCCAGGTTATTACGATGATACTATGACATAGGGTTAAAACAACCTCTGCTTCATGTCGCATATGCAACCATTGTAATAAACACCAAATTAGACCCGTGTAGGAATCAACTTGTGGTGAAGCAGCAAGGGAAGAGATAGCGATCCAAGTACACTAAGGAGATTAAGCTCTGATATGCAAATAGGAACAGCAAAACTAATGGTCAGATCGTCAGCGTGTTTCCCATAACTGCGTTAAGGTTAACCTGCGGTTGACATAATAATGATGGCGCCTAGAATCGTTAGGAAATAATCTTATTATTCTGCGTGCACTGAATGGGAAACAAATCCATGTTCGATGGTAACAGCTGTGGAGGTTCTGATGTGTACTAGGAAATGCGGTTGAAGCGGGAGAGCGGAAAATAATTCGAAGCGAGCAATACCAGCAGCTAGCTGAGGTTGAAGATTATCATCCTAATAATAACAATCATCATCCATCATCATCATCATTACACATTAGCTGAAGGAGAGGAAGATACTTCAACTATTGTGCCGCAATACATAAAGATAAGATATACGAAAAAGCAAGTTGCAAAACGTTATGGAAAACAAAATTAAGGCAGCACACTGCTTAGTAACATATGCTTCATGAAGCAGATCCTGGTTGGAGGGGAAGACAAGCTAGATGGGGATGGACAAAGAAACTCACAACAAAAACGTCATTGAGGTCGGCTGTTTGCCGTGTCAACTAGTATATAGAACCAGACGTGTTCATCGCCCTTCGGAACTCAGCCAGACAGTCAGGACACATTAACAGACGCCAACTTCGAAGTGGGGAATTCCGTTCGTCTCGACCAAGTCATCACATTGCGTCCCATCCTAATCTTCCATCCACATCCCGGTCGCGCAAACAACGCACGTCGCGGGAGTCGGTGGGCTGGCATGCGCAACAAGTGGTCCAGCCATGGGGCTGAAGATCAACTTTGCCAGGTTAGCTAAATTGAAATGCGACCAATCATCGTTAATCAGACCAGCAGACCCCAGACAGTCCGTCACGAGTAAAGATTTTAAAAAATTGCGGCCAAACAAAGTAAAAAAATGGAAATCTAACCTTTAAATAGGTCAAATTTTGTGCTGGTCTTATAAGCAGCATTGTAGCACAGCGTGTTCAAAGCAAGCCCCATGGATTGTAAGAGACATCCGCAACGCTCGGCGGACAGTGCGCCACCTTCCGTATCGTCGCTAAGAAGCTCTTTGATTTCAGGGACATTCCGAATTAACGTAACCGAATTTAGCAGGCTTGGAAAATTGATCTGTACAGCGCCCTGGGTCTCCACAAGGAACCAATCGATTGGAGCGCCAGTGGCAGAATCCGGGGACTGAGATAGAGTAGTAAGTGATGGGTCGTAGCCACATTGCTTGAGAGTTTCACCAAAGAACTCCATGAAGCACTGGAACATCGAATGAGATGGTACGTGCTCCATCAGAGGATACCAGTGGACAAATATATATATATATATATATATATATATATATATATATATATTCGATTAAGAATCCCAAAAGACGAATGCTATGAAGTGACACTATCATTTCGTGCATTCTCGTCGGTCATGTATATGTAAATAGCAACGGAACCAAAATAAGGTAAATTGAAATCGATTGATAGCATTCTAGTTGATGCGTTACTTGCTATCACGGCAGGCCAAGTGTCACAGACAACCGTTTTTGAACGCAGATCGGTGGGGGTTGTCAATCGATAACAATAGCATCGAAGAGCTTGAGGTTGTGCGGCCTTTGACCGCACAGGCGGACTGCGGATGACTGAGCCGGGTTTACCTGGTGACGGGTGTCAATAGAATGCCTCATAATTAAGGAGACAAGCTTGCTTTTCGATTTAGCTGGTGAAACCGTCGCGTGTTCCATACATTTGCGGAGTTACTTTGGAATGTATTCATTGATTCGGACGCCTCCATTTGGATCAGTGCGCTCAACATAGCTGTTTTCACAGCTACATGGGAATTGGTATAGGCAATGGGACATGCACTGCTTCGACACCGGTCTCTTCACCGATCACGAAATCAGTGGTCTTGTAGACATAAGCAAGTGTAGCCTTGTTGCACTATGCTTGTTCATCGAGGCGCTTATTCGTCTCTTAGTGACTTCCATGAGTTGGTCATCAATGAAACGCAACTCAAAGAAAATCAGTTGCTTTTGAAACCTTATCTCTCGATCTCATTCCACTGCCAATGAAACGCTTTATGAACCGTAATGAAAAACCATTAGATTGTAGCATCTGAAAAAGCAATTTTTTCTCGGCTTCTAGTGTAGCTGTGGTGTAACTCATATGAGCGTGATGGAACAAAGTTCGAACTAAAGAGCGCTTGTGCTGTATGGAGGCGAAACTCTTAAACAGTAAATACTGACCCGTCTAAGTCGCTTATCGATTGTTTGATCTTTGAAGTGAACACGTTGGTTATCGTGTCAACATAAAGTCTAAGTATGAGATACAACTGTCGAGTTCAGTTCTGCATGTCACAGTAAGATACCAGTGTGTACAATTGAATGCTTCGGTTACAAGTGAAATGTCGTCATACGAATCCAAAAAACTATTATAGCGGCGACATAGAGTTGGTACAAGTGACTGATTTGATGATGTCGACTTTCACCTAAATCATGCCAATGAATACGTACGCACGCAAAAAGGATAATAGGCTGTCCATAACCATAGCATCGATCGGTAGATATGCTCTTATTCAAAAGTAAAACGACATATATATATATATATATATATATATATATATATATATATATCGGGAGAGCCTATAGTGTGCTGAGGCTGGCGGTGGCTAGATCCTGACAGATGGTCTACCCACTGCTGCTACTGTTGCGCCATAGTCTCGTGTCCTGGGCGTCTCCACGTCGCGACCGCTGGGTGGGAGTTGGGTTACCCCCTTCTCCCTGCTACGATCCAGGACACCAATCCGCATGAGTCGGCTAACTGACCATGTGCTAGACCCCTGCCTTTCAAGTGTTCATTTAATCGAAGGCCTTGGATGAGGACCCGAGTCGTTCTCCTGTCAGGTGTGGGCGCCCTGGCAGTATCCTAGTCCATCCTCTTCGAAGGTTAGGAAGTGGTCGATGGCCCTCTTCCCGTAAAACCTAGCCATAGGAGACAACAGGTTTACGGGTTATAAGCTCACAGTTCGATTGGCGTAGAGCACGAGTGCCACGCATTGTCTCTGACGGTGGGAGGACACCTCCGGGTGTTCAATGGTTCGCTACTGCCCGCCTCAAGCCAGGCAGCCCCTGGTCAAATTGGTGCAAACCCGCTAAAACCCACCTGCGTCTGGCCGTGGTCGCAGGTGCGTATACTACTACGGTCGCAAAACATATATGAATTGTTCCAGTACCTCAAAGGCTGTGTGTAACGGCCGTCAAGCAGATCCCCATCTGTCTCTGCAATCACATTCCCGAGCTGGATCTGCTCCCTACTGTCTTGTGGGTCAGGCTATTGAGTCAAAGGCTCCGGGTGGAGTCCCTCAAGCAAACCTCAGAAGTACAGCGACCACCTCGCCTGCGATTGCCCACCAATGCAATCGTATGCCTGCGCGCAAAGCACTCAGCATCGGGTGCTGGAACGTGCGCACACTACTGGACCGGAACTCCAGCGAGCGATCGGAGCGACGCACTGCACTGGTCGCGATGGAGCTGGCGCGCTACAACATCGATATTGCGGCACTCAGTGAAACTCGGCTCGCTGAGCAAGGTAAGTTGCATGAAGCAGGTGCTGACTACACATTCTACTGGGTGGGCAATGCCGCCTCAGCACCACGTGATCATGGGGTCGGATTTGCAATATCCGATCGCCTCCATAGCCAGCTGGTGGGTGAACCAACGGGCATCAGCGCGCGACTGATGACTGTTCGCCTACGACTCGGAAGAGGTAAGTTTGCTACTTTTATAAGCACGTACGGTCTGACCATGTGTTATCCTGATGACACGCGTGATCAGTTCTACACTGAGCTATCCTCCGTGATACGGTCTGTGCCGAGGAGCGACCGACTATTTCTGCTGGGTGATTTCAACGCGCGCGTTGGGCGTGATGCATCAGCGTAGACAGATGTTAGCGGTTCGCATGGCATTGGTTCAGCGAATGCGAACGGTGACAGGCTGTTCTCACTGTGTGCCACTCAAGGCCTGACGATCACGAACACTCGGTTTGCACTGAGTGCGAGTGGGATAGCAACTTGGACGCACCCACGGAGTGGTCACGCTCACCTGATCGACTATGCAATCCGTACGTATGCGTGATATGCGTGAACTGCGCGTGACACGTGTAGCTGAGTGTGGCACTGATCACAAATTGTGCGGACCAAACTGTACATATATTTTCGGAAATCTATGTATTGCACTTCCGCCGTGAATCGGCGTAAATTTAACATTCTCTCCCTCGGTACTGTGGCGAAATGTACTGAGCTGGAGAAGGCGATGGCTGCACGCCTGTGTGATGTGGAATGCATAGCCACAGTGGGCGACCTATGGTACCACATTCGGGACCAAATGACAGCTGCTGCCGAGGAGACCATCGGGCGTGCAAACTGTAAGCGTATTGATTGGTTTGATGACAACAATACGACGATCAACGCATTGGTGTCAGAGAAGAATGCAGCATTTCCTGCACATGTTGCCGACCCCAGTGACTTGGGGAAGAAGAGTCAGTTTCGAAAACTTCGACGGCGACTGACCCGAGAGCTCCGTTGCATTAAAAATGCAGGGTGGACGGAGAAGGCGAAGCAGATGGAATGCTACGCCGAACGCCGCCAACACAACGAATTCTTTGACTTTTTGAAGGTGGTGTATGGACCGAGATTGGAGCCGCTGAGGACACTGATCGATGGTAGTTCAGGCGCTACCTGCACCCAGACTGCAGACATAATGCAGATCTGGCGGAAACACTTTGACTGTCACATGAACAACCGTTCGAAGATCGAATGGCCTACACTGAACGGTCTTAAGCATTACGATGTGAAGGCGAGTCTGGTAGACACGTCGACACTGGATGAGACGCAGAGAGCACTTGCTCAGCTGCGAAACGGTAAGTGTGCCCGATCCGACGGGATCCCGCCTGAAGTAGTGAAACATGGCGGACCCGCGTTGTCCACTGCGCTTCACCACTTGGTGCAATGCATATGGATTGAGGAGGAGGTGCCTCCTGAACTTATGGATGCACTTGTGCTACCACTGTACAAGGGTAAAGCGAGCAAGCAGTGTTGCACGAATTATCTTGGCCTCACCTTGCTGAGTTGTGTGGGCAAGGTGATTGCCCGAATCCTGCTCAACCGCCTTCTCAGTCAGGTTGTGAAAACTAACGTGGCGCAATAGAAGTGTGGATTCCGTTCGGGTCGCGGCACTATAGATATTGTGTTTGCAGCTCGTCAGTTGCAGGAGAAGTGCAGAGAATGACACCAGCCGTTGTACTAGCTTTTTGTTGATTACACCAAGGCATTTGATACGGTGAACCGCGAGGCTTTGTGGCTGGTGTTAGGTAAGTTTGGTTGCCTGCGTAAGTTTGTAAGTTTAATTGAAGGTCTGTACAGTGATATGCGGGCGAGGGTGCAGCTGAGTGGAGAGACCACGGATGACTTTGCAGTTGTCTCTGGTGTGAAGCAAGGCTGTGTCTTAGATCCTGCCTTGTTTAATATATATCTTCATGCAATTTTGTCCTGTGCTTTTGATGCAGCTTGTGCTTACGGTGTTCGTGTGGAGCACCGTATTGATGGTGCGTTGCTGAACTTCCGTCCTTTCGGTGCGAGAACTCTAGTGAGTGAGACAACTATCCGTAGGTTGCTGTTTGCTGACGACTGTGTGTTGTTTGCACACAGCGCGGATGAGTTGCAGCACATGACCAGTGCTCTGGCTTCGACAGCGGCCAAATTCGGGCTCATCATCAACACAAGCAAAACTGTCTGTCTCTTTCAGCATTCACCGGAGGTTTGGTCTGCCATATTGCCGCGAATTAGCATTGGTGCTGAAGTACTGGAAACCGCCTTCCGCTTCTGCTACCTTGGGGGTGTGACGTCGACCTACTAGGAGGTACACATTGAGCTACGTATCCGCGTGTCGAAGACAGCGGCGGCATCCGGGAAGCTAGAGTACCGAGTGTGGAACAACCATCAGATTACCAGTGGCACGAAGCTGATGGTGTACAAATCCATGGTACTGTCCGTTCTTCTATACGGCAGTGAAACGTGGACGATGTACCGTCGGGATGTGCGATATCTCGAGCGGATCCATCAGCAGAATCTGCGACGAATTTTGCGCATTGGTTGGGGCGACAGAGTTGCTGACACAGAAGTGTTGCGACAAAGTGGAGTGTATGCAGTGGACTGCATACTTTTACTGAGACACCTGAGGTGGCTCGGTCATGTGAGCGGTTTGGGTTCGATGC